TAAAAATATATAGAAAAAATTAGGCATGGTGGTGCATGCCTGTAGTCCCAGCTACTCGGGAGGCTGAGGCAGAAGGATCGCTTGAGCCCAGGAGTTTGAGGTTGCTGTGAGCTAGGCTGACGACACGGCACTCTAGCCCAGGCAAAAAGAGTGAGACTCTGTCTCAAAAAAAAAAAAATGTTGGTCACCTGTCTATGCTCAGAATTTAAAAGTCAGGAAAATGTTATTAGAAGATAGTTTCATTGGCTCAGTTTTATTTGTTTAAAATGAAATTTATTTGAGCTTGGTTTGTTGATTTTAAGTCTTTTTGTATGATTTTAATAATGTAGATACTGCTTTAAATTGCCTACAAATTGAACATCTAGTCTTAAAAGGAGGTAGTTTTTACTAGCCTGTTAATACGAAAATTTCAGACATAGGTGCTCTGTAGTTCTTACTTACCTTGTAAGTACATTGCCATTGTTGCTCAATTAGGCAAAAATTTATGTTATTAGCAGAAAAAACTTGAGTTTCAAAATGGCATCAATTTCTATGTAAACTAGTATAAAATGATTTTTTAAATTCAGGAGCCATAAAAATATTACTGACAGCTAACATTTGTGCTTGACCAAGAAAAGAATTTAACTTTGGTAAAAGGGATTTTGGCACTTGATTCTGTAAATCATTTCAGAAATCATTAAAATTATCTAGTGATGTGTTAGTATTCTAACTGAAGAGGTTTTTTCCGTAAGGAACTAACTTGATTTTTACCCATTAGCAGCTACTAATATTTTATGTAAAAGAGATGCTTTCCTTCTACCAGTATATATTAAGCTCATATTGTGTAACAAGTACTCTTTCAAGCAATGGGGTTATTATGATAAACAAGACAAAAAATCTTGAGAAACTTAAATTCTAGTGGGAAGGAGTATTTTTTCCTTACATTTTACAAGCTAATAGTATACTTTAATGTACAGCTTACCTTTCAAACCAGCAAAGGAAACTTTCCTTTGAAACAGAATATTCAGGGAAAAAGCAATTCTTTAATCTAGAAATAATTTGCACATGTTAATGCTAAACATTATTAAGGAAACTCAAAGATAAAACAGTATTTCTGTAACTTTATTGGCTCTACAGGAAGCATTTTCTCAGTGTTTAGGAGTGGGTTTTTTTTAAATTTGTTAAAAACCTTTTTATTGTTTTGCTTATTAAATGGTTTCTAATACTTTAGATTAAAATCTAAAGACTTCTCTTTCTCAAGTTTAAACATAAGCAGCATAAATTGGATTGTTTTGAAAGGCATTTTTATTTAAACCTGATACCACCATTATTTTTAGCAATCTACTACAAAGCTTTTCAGTTGTTTTCCTTTGTATAATTTACTAACATTTGCTTTGGTTTTGATTTCTAAGATTCTTATCTTTATAGAGATAAGTAAATACTTTATAGAGATAAATGCTGCTTTATAATTTCTTAATATATAATTATATATAATAATTATAATTTTTACCAAATTTTTATTTTTAAAAGGTAATGAATTATTTCATGAATTCAAAACATATATATTATTCAAGAGATTAAGGGTATGGAGTAATTTCTGTTTCAAATCACAGCTCCTCACTTTGTAGCTGTATAATTTCAGGCAAATCACTTAAACAGTTTCTTCAGCTATAAAATAGGGGATTAATAACACCTACTTCTTGGGGTTGTTGTAAGGATTAAATGAGTTACATGTAAGGTTCTTAAAACAATGCCTGGCATGTAGAAAAATTATGTATGTTTAGCTATTATTTACTCTTTTTCTCCTAAATAAAGTTCAGGTATACAGTATCTGCTTAATAAACATAAGGCTTGTTAGAGTCAATCATGCTTGATTCAAGTGCTGGTGTTGGTTTCCGGTCATCAGTTTTATACAATTAGTAATGTTATATACCCATAAAAGAGCTCTGTTTAATGCTTAAGACTTTAAAAACAATTGTTTAAATTCTCCAGTACTACATTATTGTTAGAAAAATATCCAGTTATGTTTTTTAAAAGCTCTTACTTGCCCTCTTAAACCTGCATGAAAGTTTTAGGTGTTCTTATGTGGCAACAAAATTTTAGGAAAAAAACACTTTAGGTTGAAAGAATGGTTAAATTTTCTAATAGTAAAGTGAGGGCTGGGTTTGGAAAGAAATTCCTGAACACAGAACTTCACAGTAATCTTGCCTGGCTTCTTTGGAATGGAAAAATTATGAAATATCAATAAAGGAAGCTAAAAATTAATATTCTAGTTTTTCTGAAGTTCATATATTTGCTAGACTTTTAGCATTAGATTTTAACGTTTGAAATTTTGATTTTGAACTTCAGTAAAATAAAATCCCAACTGTAAAATTCTTAAGAATTTTCAGAGAAAAGTTATATAATCCTTATCCTTTGTTGCATCCTTTAGAATATTTGTGGAAAGAAACTTGGCGTGCATGTTGAATATAATCTGTCCTCAAGGCAGAGGTTTCTATGATCTCTGATAATATGGGAGATATAAAAAACCAAAATAATTCCATTCATCAAGATGCACAAATAGGCATTAGTTATCTGTTGCAATAACAAATACTTAATGAGTATAAATGCAGAGTTTATAAGGAAATATTTTCCTTTTTTTTTTTTTTGAGACAAGAGTCTCACTGTTTTGTCCCAGGTAGAGTGCAATGCCATGATCATAGCTCACTGCAACCTCAAACTCCTGGGCTCAAGCGATCCTCCTGCCTCAGCTTCCCCAGTAGTTGGGACTGCAGGCATGCGCCACCACATGCATCTAATTTTTTCTATTTTTGGTAGAGACAGGGTCTCGCTCTTGTTCAGGCTGGTCTTGAACTACTGACCTCAGGCGATCCTCCCGCCTCAGCCTCCCAGAGTGCTAGAATTACAGGCATGAGCCACAGTGCCTGGCCTATGTTTTGCTTTTCATTTAGAAACATTTCCAAGTGGAGTGCATGAGGAAGAAAGCCAATGTCATTTTTTAAAGTTTTATATTCCCCTCAGTTTTATGGCAGAGAGATTTAATTGCTTCAACTTCAGGAGATACTATATATGACCTATGTATAGCCTAAAGTATATCTTCAGGAATATACTAGAATCTTGACATAATACAAACCTCTGTTGATCTGAATTTAAAATAAAGCAGATCCTTTTGGACTTCATACCAAGAGGGTTATATTAATGAAATAGCAGAAGGATCAGCCTTCTTTTATCCATAGCATGGATCTTGAAAATTCTTTGAATGACTGTCTTCATTTTATCAATGAAGAAACTGGTCTCAGAGTCTAGAGTAAGACAATTTAAGTTCTAGACCTAGCAGCATCAATAAATGGTTTTGTGATCTTGAACAAGTCACTGCTTTACTCTGGATCTAAATTTTCTCATTTTAATTGTTCAGTTATACTTCTGTTGCATTTAACTTTTGGGTTATAGGCCTTATAAGTAGCAATAGCTGACTTTTTGATTTTTTTATCCTTTTTCATTATATTTTACTGGCTTCTGAAAGCAAATTTTTTGTTATTTCTGGGTAACTTAAAGACCATGATGGCTTCGTAGACACGGTATTTTACTTCTAAAATTTCTGTTTGAGAATTTGTATATATCTGAACAGTTAAATGGTATTTCATCTTATGATTTTCAACTTCATAAGTATTTTTGAGGATTTACCAAATACGTAACACTTAAGGCAATGGGAATAATACAGTGGTATGGAACTCTAAACCTGTTTCTCAAACTTTATTTTCTCTCTCTCTTTTTTTTCCATTGGACTCTGCTTGATAATGTTGCTCGAACTTTATGATTATATATTTGAGAAAGTAACTTAACCTTTCTGGGCCTCAATTTTCTCATCTGTAAGAGAGTTAAATTAGATAATCTCTGAATGTCCATTTAAACTCTAAAATTTATGATTCTTTTTTTTTTTGAGACAGAGTCTCACTGTGTTGCCCTGGCTAGAGTGAATGCCGTGGCGTCAGCTTAGCTCACAGCAACCTCAAACTCCTGAGCTCAAGCGATCCTTCTGCCTCAGCCTCCCAAGTAGCTGGGACTACAGGCATGCGCCACCATGCCCGGCTAATATTTTCTATATATTTTTAGTTGTCCGATTAATTTCTTTCTATTTTTAGTAGAGACGGGGTCTCGCTCTTGCTCAGGCTGGTTTCAAACTCCTGAGCTCAAACAATCTGCCCACCTCGGCCTCCCAGAGTGCTAGGATTACAGGCATGAGCCACCGCGCCTGGCCTAAAATTTGTGATTCTTAAAAAGAGACCTCAGAAGCCATAGATACAGTTTTTAGAGTTTGATAGTTATTAATGGAAAGGGCCTATCATAGGTAAGGTTTCTTCTTCCTAGCAGACTCAAATGGTGTTTTTATCAGAAACAAAAATGCAATTAATTTTTTAGTAACATATTGATTTTTTTATGGCATTTAATAGATTTTAATACTATAATAAAATAAAGTAAAACACCTTAGTAGAATAGATAGTTTTTTGACAAAAAGAACTTTAGTAAGAAGGTAGTGATTTCCACTAATGTGTGATCTAACAGATAAGCAAAATTTGAAGGAAAGATGAAGCGGGAGAATTTATGAGACCCTATAAGAGTCTACAGAGGGACAGTTAGATCAGCTTTATGTGTTAAGATCAATTTTTTCCACTTGGAACTTAAGTAGGAAAAATTGAATAACAAGTTTGAATTGATTTATTGGCACAGCTCTATCTTTAACTGCACTTCCAAATGTTTCATCACCTTGCTGTCTGTTTCTATGCATGTTAACATTTTTAAATGTATTTTGGTAGTTTTCTAATTCATTGACACTACATGCTATATTGGCTTGTGCCCATCATTTTTTAAAAACAAATTTGCATTTTTAATTGATTTTTTCATTGAGCTTATAAAAATATCTCAGAATTTTTATTTTAAAGCATATGCTTTAGGGTTTGAAATTAATACCTAATTTTTATATTCATGTAGTTCCTACTCTATATAATTTTTCTCTTTTGCAGATATTGATGATGCTCAAATACTTCCCCGCTCAACTAGAGTCAGACATTTTTCACAAAGTGAAGACACTGGAAATGAAGTTTTTGGTGCTTTGAGTGAGGAGCAGCCATTGCCTCGAAGTAGCAGCACTTCTGACATCTTGGAACCATTCACTGTTGAACGAGCCAAAGGTGCAGTTCCTGTCATTGACAGTTCATCCCGTCATGCACCAAGCTTGCAGAGTTCCACAGAGGCTTCTTCAATAACTAGATCCACTGAAAGCCACATCAGTGATACTCACAGTAGAGAGTCTTCTCTGGAAGTTGGTGATAGCATATATGACCATCTTTGTCATTTAATAGGTCCAGTAGAACTTGCAGATTCAGCTTTTGAACAAATCCAATACATTGACCTTGAAGGAGATGACGATCTTCTTTCTTCTCTGAAAGAATATTTTAAGGAAAACCAGGAAAATAATAGTAAAAATGAAATAAGTAAAGATTCAGCTTCTCAGGATGTGATTATTGCAGTAAATAGAGATGAAAGATTATCCTTAGATAAAGTAGAATACATAGATCAGGAAATTAAATCAGAAAATAGGACCTCTTTTGTTGGGACTCTTGAAAACATACAGTGTCAAAAAGAACCAAACTCAGCTGTCTTCGTGAGTAATATTGCACCTAACCAGTCAGACAATTTTATTAGAACACAAACTTCTGAAAAATCTAAGCAACTAAACAGTGACAAACAGTCATCGGAGCCTAGTTCAGATAGCTCTTGTGATAAAGAAAAAAGGAAAAATCTGCATAGACAAACAGCTACAGAATTAGATGCTTGTGTAGATATAACACTAGTTGAAAAGCTTCAGGGTATGCAAATCAATGAAAAAATCACTGTTCCACATGTTACGCGTGCCAAGAAAACAACATTAAAAGCACCTGTTAACCGCAGAATGCCTCATGTTATAAACACTAGCAAACTTTCTCCAACTAAAAGGAGCTTGTCCGAAACAGTAACTCATAGAGCTAAAATCATGAAAATTGCTACTAAAAAACGAAATAGTGTTCATGTTACTTTTAGACCATCCACTGAGTCAGTTCAGTTTTATAATCCTCTGGAAAACAAAGAGGCTCCTTGGAAGATGAGACTACGGAAACTCAGTGGCTTTAGTGGTAGTAGCAACAGTAGCACCAGCAACACCCATACCAGCTCAGATAGTGGTACAGAGCTAGTAAAACCTGGTGTGTATAGGCCTCTAGATACAGTTAGTACAGCATCAGTAAGTAGTAAAACAATGAAGGAATCCACTGAGATTCCCACCACCGTATTACAAAAAGAAGGAATCACAAGTAATCAGTTAGGTAGTCGTAGTACTCTTAGGTCCTCAAGTCATGAGGCAGGACTACAGCAGGGCTCCCTGGGTGGCGTTTATAAAACTGTTGTACATGCTCTTTCGAAGCCGAAGGCAAATGTTTCCCCACAGAGGCAGAACAGAATGCCACCAGAGGCTCCACTGAGGGATCTGTACAGTCATGTAATGGGCTATTTTGGAAGGAAAGCTGCAGGTGAGCACTAACAGTGTGCAGAGCGCAAAAGGAGAAAGACAGCACCAGTTTGGCTTAATGCAACTGAAGCAAGCTATAAGCAATCAAAAAGCTTTGGGATGGTCACTGCTTTCTCTCTGTTTGGTTATGCATGCGCCTCTTCCCAGCTGTATTTTTCCCAGCATAAAATGTTTATTTAAGTTACTAATTTCCCTTATAAGGCATTTAGTTAAACCTCTTTGCTGCTGAACAACAATATAGGAAAGAGGAAGATATAGGAAAATTTTAATGACCTTTCAAAGGCTACCAAAATCAAATATTTTTCTGAATATGTACTACATGAGTCTAGAAATTAAGTTTACTGAGGAGTAGTTAACTCTTTCTTCCCTGCCCCATTATACTTTATCTTTAAAAGGGCACCAACTATGTTTAATTGAGTTCATATATTTTCACTGCTGATCTATTTGGTAATATATTTTTTCTTGGTAGAAAATTACTTTGACATTTAACATAATAGAAATCAAGGTCCTACAACCAGCATCAACGTTATAGTTAACTTTCATTGAAAAGGAAATTATTTCTTAAATCTCCAAGTGGATTTAATCACTTTTCATTTAAGCCATTTCCAAACATGCCATAGACTTTTTAGTTTTGCATTCATTTGTATAGAATGCAAGTTATGTCCTTGAAACACTTATTACTTTCTTTTTTCTGAGATTTTAGATGTGCATAAAGGTTTCATGATAACCAATCATGATTTAAATATGGAACCTCTATGGACAGATTACAGAAAGAAAGCAAGATTATGGTAACTGTTTTCTCTTATCTTGATTGAAGTTAAAATAACTTTACAGTTATAGAAAATTAACTTTCAGCAGTAAGGTAGGTTTTGATTTTATTTGTTTTAACATGGTTTTGTTAGCATGATTAACAGCGCTGTATAATGCATCTTGCATTGAACCATTAATGCCACCTGAGGGCAGTATTTGACAGCTTAGCAAAGCCTGGCCAGTAATATAAAGATAATGGTATTTCACAATGAGGTTCTGACCAGTGTATTTTTTTTTAGCCTGAAATGCTTTGTAATTCATTAGGAATATAGACAGTGCTGACTTTCTTTTCATTACAGAGAAATCAACTTTTCAGTAGCATAGTAATGACATAAACAACATTTTCTATAAGTTAGTTTCCCAAGTTTAAAGCTTTAATGTTAATATAACTCATAATGTAATCATAAAAAATCAAAATAACTCTTTTGGTTTATTTTTTAAAGAAAAATTTTTGTGAAAATAATCCTCTTTTTTTCTTAAAACACTAAAATTAGATTTTATAGTGAATAGAAACAACATTATATAAACATCATAGCATTTTTATTTATAAATATCCAAACCTAAATGCACTTGTGTCCCACTGAGATTTGCATAGACTCAAGGGATATATTCCCTGAAAATATTTTTTGGGGAAAAATGGAATTATAAATTATTAAGGCTCTAAATAGTAATAGAAGCATAGAGGCAGGAAGAAAGATAAATATACCAGTTTCTTTATAGGCAATATTAACCTAACTTCAACTAGTGCTTATCTATAAGCTTTCTCGCTGTTTAAGGTTACACTGAAGATTGACTAACATCTGCATAGTTAAATAAAGTAAATATCAATTTACTAATTCTTAAAATTAAAAGGAGAGAAATTATTCATATATGCATGTTTGGCAAATAATTGATATGGCATAGGTACTTTGTTTTGGGTTGTTTTTGTTTGTTACAAATTTACAAAATGCAGTTAAATTTTTCCTCACTATATGTAGTTATTTATTTATTTTTAGTCAATAAAGAGGACATGAGCCCAAAACTGCCTCCTCTTAATACTGATATTGGCAGCAGCAGTGCTAATGTTCCTGATCTGATGGATGAGTTTATAGCAGAACGACTTCGAAGTGGTAATGCCTCAGTAAGTTTTATTTTATTTATTTGGTTTTCTAAAGGAGGGTAGAGAAACTAAAAGATACATTAATGTACATGTGCCAATTTTTATTCAAAACAGCCTTTCCCCCATTTTTTTTTTCCCCAAGAGATAGGATCTTGCTCCATTGCTCAGGCTTGAGTGCCGTGGCCTGATTGTAGCTCACTGTAACCTCAAATTCCTGTGTTCAAGCGATCCTCCTGCCTCAGCCTCCCAAGTAGCTGGGACTAGAGGTGCATGCCACCATGCCTAATTGTTTTGTTTATCTTTTGTAGAGATGAGGTCTGACTGTGTTACTCAGGCTAATCTTGAACTCCTGGGCTCAAGCAGTCCTTCCACCTTGACCTCCCAAGTGCTGGGGTTATAGGCATGGTCCACTATACCTGGCCCTTCTCCCAAACTTTAATATTTTTCAAATTATATTTGTATAATATTTTTAAATCTAAAGACATTAAAACAAGTAGGCTTATAGTTTTCACCACGGTGAAAGACTGCAATACCTATTTGATCAAACACACAAGTCTGAACCACTACCTTCCTAGTTCCACCCCCCACCCCCCACTTTTTTAATCTTTGCCCACAGGTTACTCTGCTGCCAGCTGCCAGCCCTCAATAAGAAAAATAATAATGGAGGTGTTCTGGCCCAGTTCCCATAGTTTTGATAGCACAGTGTTGCTTAATCATTTTTAGATAACTTTGGAGCAGATTTAAAAGTTACCTTTATCTTGAATGTTAGGATTGTGGCAAAATAAAAATAGAAGCTATTTTATCCCTCATGATGCTTGTTAGGGAAGGATACATATCTATGGAATTGCTTCTTTTAAATGGTCATATTTGGTGTGGGTTTTGATTTCTCTTTAGCTATATTATATTGCCTTTTTTTAAAGTTTAGTTTTTTTCTTAAGTGGCTAAAAATCATTGTAGAATCATTACAGAATGACATCTTTACCATCATTCTTCCTTCTCTCCCACTATCTCTTCTGTTTGCTACTTCTTTTTCTGCTTAAATACTTTTCTCTTTCTGCTATTTTAACTTATATCCACTGCATGGATCCTACTGAGGCTTAGGATTCTCAGGCCCACCGCTATCTAATATTTGGGTCTTTGCTTTAGGCAGACTAACAATAATAGCTCAGGCTCCAGTTCTGTATAGTTACTAATATATGAATTGTTTAGTAAGTGTGTTTTCCCCCTCCTTCTTCAGGCCCTACATCTCAGCATTTATTGTTATGATTATCTTAGAAATTAAAGATTTCACATGCTTAATAAGAATTAAAAAAAATTTTAATGTTAAACTACTTCTTGAATTTTTAGACTATGACAAGAAGAGGAAGTAGTCCAGGCAGCCTCGAAATTCCCAAAGACCTCCCTGATATTCTAAACAAACAGAACCAGATGCGCCCTGTTGATGACCCAGGTGTGCCCTCGGAATGGACTTCTCCTGCCAGTGCAGGAAGCAGTGATCTTATCAGCTCAGATAGTCATTCGGATTCGTTCAGCGCTTTCCAATATGATGGCCGAAAATTTGACAGCAAGTATCTTTTTCTATTTGAGTAGTATGTTTTATGTTGATTGTTTTCTGTTTGAAACCGACTTACGGACTATATAGCCATCACCTTCCCCTCCAATGCTACTTAGACAGTGGTTCTGATACATTTTTATTTGATTTCACTTTTCAGGAAAATTCCAAAGCAGGTTTTAGGGAATCACCTCAGATTGAGACCACTTTATTTTGCCAAACTGAGATCATTTAAAAAATAATAAAACACTATTCTTTCATAAAACAAATGATATTTATGAGATAAAATATGTAGAAAGGAAAATAATTTAGGGTAGACTTGATAATAAAATAAAGGACAGTCATAGTTACAAGGTACCACTGTTTTGTGCACTCATATTTGAGAGCCAGATATTTGGGTTGTAGTCAGTGCTACATTTCCTAGAACTTTTCATGAATAATTGTTCCATGTTAAAATAACATCAGTGATATTATTTGATGACATATTGTTATCAATTAGTTATTCTGCTGTAATTCTTTATTATAATTGGCAATAAGTGAAGGGCACCAAAATTTTATTAATAAAAAAGAAAGTCAAAACCTTGGGAACCAAGTTTGTGAAGAGCTGGAAGATGCATTTGAAAATTACATGTTTCCTCACATCATTAATATACTACTCTGATCTAATTATAATCTTCAAGGTGTTAACATTATTTATACTTGCCTAAGTGATATGTAAATAGAATAGATTTAGGGGAAATGTTAATGATTGACCATTTTGCTGATTTAGCTATGTCTTTTTGGTAAATATTTTTGTTTTGTAATTGGGACTTATATACTAGCATTTTTTGTTCTGTAGATTTTGGCTTTGGAGCTGACACTGGGATTGTATCCTCTACTGATGTGGATTCAGGTTCTGGACATCACCAGAGTGCTGAAGAGCAGGAAGTGGCTAGTCTAACTACTCTTCATATAGATTCTGAAACAAGCAGTCTTAATCAACAAGCTTTCTCTGCTGAAGTTGCAACAGTTACTGGTAAAGTTACTTGAGGGAATGTATTCCTTAAATATATATATATTTTTTCCTTAAATATATTTTTAAAACCTCCAAAAAAAGAATCCAGTTAGAATTTTATTTGAGAGGTTTTAAATGCTGCTTATTAGTATTTAAGTGTTATTTTTTTCACTCATCTTTATGTAACATTGGAGTGGAAAAAAACCATTAAAATAGTTTCTCGACCTGGAACCAGATCTTTTTGCTGCCTTATAGAAAATGGATTGGGAGGAAGGAGTAGGGATGTGGGTGAGACTGGAGGCTGGGACCAGTGTATACCAGGCTAGCAGTGATACTTGCATATAAAGCAGTATTGAGCAAGTACCTCAACTCTTAATTTGCCCCTAGTAAGTGAAATAGAATGCCAGTGGGTACTGGAGTTTCTCAGAAATGGGGGTAGATATTCTTTTTTTTAATTTTTTATTTCAGCATATTATGGGGGTACAAATATTTAGGTTACATATATTGTCTTTGCCCCACCTGAGTCAGAGCTTCCAGCTTGTCCATCCCCCAGACAGTGTGTACCACGCCCATTAGGTGTGAATACCCCCCCACCTGCCCAACAGCCAATAAATGTTCTTACTATATGTGCATGTAAGTCTTGATTAATACCAATTTGAGGGTGAGGACATGTGGTGCTTGTTTTTCCATACTTGTGATACTTCACTTGGTAGAATGGACTCCAGCTCTATCCGGGGTAATACAAGAGGTGATAGATCACTATTGTTTTTTGTAGCTGAGTAGTAGTCCATGATATATACATATACCACATTTTATTAATCCACTCATGTATTGATGGGCACTTGAGTTGTTTCCACATCTTTGCAATTGTGAATTGTGCTGCTATAAACATTCTAGTGCAGATGCCCTTTTTATAGAGTGTCTTTTTTTCCTTTGAGTAGATGCCCAGTAATGGGATTGCTGGATCAAATGGTAGTTTTACTTTTAGCTCTTTGAGGTATCTCCATATTACTTTCCATAGAGATTGTACTAGTTTGCAGTCCTCCCAGCAGTGTACAAGTGTTTCTATCTCTCCGCATCCACGCCAACATTTATTGTTTTGGAACTTTTTGATAAAAGCCATTCTCACTGGAGTTAAGTGATATCTCATCGTGGTATTGATTTGCATTTCCCTGATGGTTAGAGATGTTGAGCATTTTTTCATATGTTTGTTGGCCATCTGTCACCTTTTGAAAAGTTTCTGTTCGGGGGTAGATATTCTTGCTCTCACTGATGGCTCCTGTTACCTGGTACATCCAGTTCTGATTCAATGCTATTAATAGTTCCATGGTAGATACGAGGTCAGACTCCTAAATACAAAAGCTTGTACAATATTAAGATTTTATTGACCTCCTTGGCCAATTTATAACTGGTTTTATCTTTCGATAGTTGAAATTTATATTTTATTGGAGTTTTAAGCATTACATCTTAGGTAGGGTATTGAATATACTCTTTATGGTAATTATATGAAATCATATTTACAGGTTCAGAAAGTGCTTCCACAGTCCAGTCGCCTCTGGGATCCAGGTCACAGACACCTTCCCCTTCTACATTGAACATAGATCACATGGAACAGAAGGATCTACAGCTTGATGAGAAGCTTCACCACTCTGTTCTTCAGACACCAGATGATCTAGGCAATATTTGGAAATTAGATATTTGCCATTTTTTCTTTTAGGGTGTTAAGTGTCAGGAGTTCATAAATAAAGCATCTTAAACTTGATTATATATGATTATTATAAATCTTTTGGACTTTTCTAAGTCTTTTGGAAATTTGTTAATATATCTTTTTGTTCCTAAAGATACTTACAGTTTTATTTGTGTTCGTTTTACTATACTTGATAACAGTCTTAGAATTAGTGATTACTTAATTTTGGGGTCTTCTGTTATCATTTATCGATATTGTTCTCTTTCCTAAACCATACATGATTTGGCATCATTATTCTTAATATTATAGCTGAAGTGTGCCTGCTGATTCACAGGAGAAAGTAGTAGCATTATCATTTATTAATCTTTCGGTGAAACACTTTATCAAATCTATAATTTTTATTGATTTTATTCTGCAAATATGTCAACTAAATTTAATTAAAAAGTATTCCAAAGGAAGTATTTTTAAGTAAATGTTAAAAATTGGCTCGAGAAACCTCAGAAAATGCAAGTTAAAAGTTATTTTTGCTAAAGCCTGCATGATGTAACAGGCATCTCAAATATGCCAAAAACTTTGATCAAGGACATAGTTGATGAGATATTTACAATGAATAAAATAAAAAGTCAGTTTTCACTGGTAAGGCAGCATGTTTACTCTCTGACCAAAGGAAGAAATTTAAAGTTGTTTAACTTCTGGACTTTTTTTAAAGGAGCTCATTCCTTAATATGCAATTACTTTGTAGTTACATAGCCCTAATTTTCTAGTTTGTGAATTATTTCTGACCTTATCTTTTCTTCCTTTTTGGCCTGTAATTTTTGTTTGTTTACAGTTATTTTCCCAACATTTGGAAAAAGGTTCCAAACTTAGAGAAAAGTTGCAAGGCTAGTAAAATGAATAGCTATAACCTTCACATAAATTCACCAGTTAATATTTTGCTACTTTGTCTATATTTACACACATGCACATATGTGCACAAAAACCCCTGCCCCTCCCCTCTTTTTGCTGAGCTATGTAAGAGGGAATTGCAGATATCAGATTCTTCAGAGCTTAACACTTCAGTGGGTGTGTCCTAAGAATAAATGTATGTTTCCTGTATAACCACAATATAGTGGCCATATTCAGGATATTATTTAAGTCCATAGCTGAATGTCTCAATTGTCCAGTAATGTCCGAGAAAGCTACCCCACACCATTACCAACCCAGTGCAGAATTTAATCAAGGACCACACACTATTGCCTGCTTTTTAATCATTTAAAATTGTATTATCTTTACTTTGAGAAGGATAAGTTAGGGACAAATCAGTTGATTTATCACTATATTATGAAAGTGTTCTAGAGTCGGGAGGCATCAACAGTAATGTTAAAATATCAGTGTTTTTCGTTTTGTTTTAGTGGCTTTAACTAGAAGCCTTTTTAAAAACATTATGGAGAGGGCCGGGCGCGGTGGCTCACGCCTGTAATCCTAGCTCTCTGGGAGGCCGAGGCGGGTGGATCGCTCGAGGTCAAGAGTTCGAGACCAGCCTGAGCAAGAGCGAGACCCCGTCTCTACTAAAAATAGAAAGAAATTAATTGGACAACTAAAAATATATAGAAGAAATTAGCCAGGCATGGTGGCACATGCCTGTAGTCCCAGCTACTCAGGAGGCTGAGGCAGTAGGATTGCTTGAGCCCAGGAGTCTGAGGTTGCTGTAGGCTGATGACACAGCACTCTAGCCCGGGCAACACAGTGAGACTCGGTCTCAAAAAAAAAAAAACATTATGGAGAAAGGGTAATTATATGGTACCTTTTCAGTGACACAATGCACAGTTATTATCCATTATATACTTTACATGCAAAGAGGAAAAAAGTTAAGCATTACAAGTAAAAGATATACATATAGTAATACTAAGAATGAACTTATCAATATATTGGGATATTATCAAGCATGAAAAATCATAAGCTTATAATTCTTTCAGTCTACAAAATTTTACTTCCCAAAGTTCTTTATTAACTTTTGAAAGATTTTTCTATAGCCTCTTCCATTATATAATGGAAATTGAGTAGAATAATGGATTTTTTAAAAAACTAGAGGAGACCTATAATGATACCTAGCTAAACCATCTGTTTTACAGATGAGGAAATGTAGCCTTAGGTTATGAAATAACTTGTGTAACACATAATTAGTGGCAGAATTATGAGACTAAAACCAAGGTTACCTGTATTTCTTACTTACAGTCTTGCCAGTATTAACAGGCAAAATATAATTACGGTAATTTTTGATTATGTTTAAGTTTTAGTAAAAATGTCTATTTTTCATGCCATTGTGATACCTCTTTCAATGAGAGGTCTGACTTAATTGTGAAATATGTAAATATATTTCTTTGGAAACTTTAAAGAAACAAGCTTATGAAGACTTCCTACAGGATCTGCCTTTAGCCTGAGATTTTCTATAAATTTGATGATATAACCTGAAGTGGCTATTAGAGAAAAGTGAGAGTATGTGCTTATAAATTTGATGTTTATATCAAACATAAATTTTCCTGTCTGGCATATGCCCAGTGAGTGGTATTGCATTATTTCCTCCTTAAGTAAATCTAGATAGAAGTATTATTGAATAAGAAATTACTGTTATAATATGGAATTACGAACTAGTGAGTTTTTGACCTTGTTTGGAAAAAAATAACAGTAATATACATTGACCTCGTTTAGTTATTTAAGATTATTAATTTAACTTGGCTCTTTTGGATTTCGTGGTCAATTTTCTGAAAAGTTACTGACATTATTGTATTTTTTTTTTTTTTTAATAGAAATCAGTGAATTTCCATCTGAATGTTGTAGTGTGATGGCAGGCGGTACTCTTACTGGATGGCATGCTGATGTTGCTACTGTAATGTGGCGAAGAATGCTAGGCATTTTGGGAGATGTCAATGCAATTATGGATCCTGAAATACATGCTCAAGTTTTTGATTACCTCTGTGAACTTTGGCAGAATCTAGCTAAGGTAAAAAAGAAAATAAAGGATGTAAAGGGAGAAGAAAAACTTTTGAGAAATAGAAGAGGCCTTAGAGAACATTGTGAACTGCTGCCCGCCCGCGCCCCACTCCCTTTTACTGTAGTTAAATTGGTGCCTGGCGTGATGAAGTCACTTCTAATTAAACATTTCCTTAGTGGTAGAAACTGGATTTGCACTTCAGTTTAAGATAAAGTAAACTGGAAGAGAGAACAGTTTTCATGGGTTTATTGCCTTTTATTTAAAAATTACAGATTAGAGATAACCTCGGCATTTCAACCGATAACCTGACCTCCCCCTCTCCACCAGTTTTGATTCCTCCACTTAGAATTCTTACGCCTTGGCTTTTTAAGGTAAGCTTACTATATAAAATATTAGTTTAAAATCTTCATTTAGTAAATCTTAAAACATTTGATAGAAATTTTAGCTATTATATAGTCTTCTAAAATACTTAGCTTTTAACTAGTGTGCTTAGGAAGTCATTAGGCATTATATAGAGAGCAGAGTGAACATGGCAAAATTATACAGAATACATTGTTTTTATTTATTCAGTAAAACCAAAGTGAATATAGAAAAGCATGTCTTTATTGTATTTAAGTGAAATGTAAACCTTGAGTTGACACAGAATACACTGTGTACTTTTGAAGATATAATACTTTTAAGTATTATTTAATATGTTTGGTTCATTTTCCTAAGTGAAATAGTTTATGATTATTCATACCTACATTGTATCATTTTGGATGATAACAATAGTTTCAGTTATCCTAATTTTTAGTTCATTGAAGAAATTGGGCCAACATAGAAATAAATGAGAACAAATATATTGCTTGCTATATTCAATTGTTTAAGTATTTAACAAACAGTATTTCTTTTTGAGTATTAAAACTAATCTTTTAATTTTAGGCAACCAGGTTGACTGATAAATATAAACAAGGTAAATTACATGCTTATAAACTTATTTGTAATACAATGAAAAGAAGACAAGATGTATCTCCAAATAGAGATTTTCTAACACATTTCTACAATATAATGCATTGTGGATTACTTCATATTGATCAGGTAACTATATATACTTTCTAAGAAGTTATTTTATCAGTTTAACTTTGATTCTTGATTCTGTTTGGTTTGTGATTTTTAAGCTGTAGAATTAAAACTGTCTCCCTTATGCAGTGGTTTATAAACAGTTTATTTCCATTTTATGACCTTACTTATTCTTGAAACATGGTTGAAAAGCAACATATTATTGTAATTAGGGGATTGGTTTGAGTATTCGTCCAACTTTAAATACCAACCAGTTCACTTTTTGAAGAGATTAAACCATCCTTTGCTTACGTTGACTTCTTTAGTGTTCCAGTATACCTGTTCTTAGGCATTTTGTAATTGATACTTGAGGCATGTGGATTTGCTCATCTAGTCATTGCCATAGTCAGATTTTTTTCCACTTTAAGAATCGGCACATCACATTTTCTTACTACCACCAATTATGTTGGCATAGTGACAATCACATTGATTTGGTAATTATATCAGTTACAATCATTAAATAGTCACAAATATGACTCTAGGACATTACTTCAGGGGTCTTGATCTTGGCCATAAAACTAAAAAGTATGGGAAATTGCAAGTCAAAGTATTTATAAATGTTATAAGTATTTTTATCCTAATATAGTTAAATTTCACTTGTAGGTCATTTAGAGAACATTAAATTAATATTAAAAGATGATAATTATATCTCTTCCTGAAAAATGAAAAAACTTTTTTCATTAATTTAAAATAAATATAGTGTTCTACATTATAAACATGTCTCCAAACAACACTGTTAATTACTAGAAAAGAGAGCTTTTGTTTAAGATAAGTCAGATTGAGTAATACAAGCTAATACACCACGTCCTCATGGTAAATTCCAAAGGCAAAGTGAATGAATAAGCCAAATTAACAATATTCCCTTAAATGTGCCTGGGGTCTAGATGTCTGAAGCTAGATATCTATCTTTAAAGGACTTACCTAAAAAAGAGAATCTTCCCAGTTGCCACATATCAGGTCATGTGGGTTCCAAGATGAGAGTTATCATGTAGAAGCAACTAGGTGGCAGGACAAACTACTATGTAATTTAGTTTTACAGTGTGTGAGCCTTAAATTTTTAACCCTCTGAAGCAAGGAGCCTTTTTTTCTCTAGTGTGACAAAAAATGCTGTTATTTGTATAAGTTAAATGTGTTCCTAAGTTTACTTTTCCTATGTCAGAATATAATGTTAAGCATGGATTATTTGCAAGAATTAAAAGTAGCCTTTCCAATTAGCCAATGTAATTACCTTTTTAAATTATTTTCATATATCTATTTTTAAGAATATTGATTAGCTGATACCCAAAATAACATACTTGATTTTCTTTTCCCCTTCTCTCCTTATTCTAAGGATATTGTCAATACAATCATCAAACACTGCTCACCTCAGTTTTTTTCACTTGGTTTGCCTGGAGCCACAATGCTTATTATGGATTTTATTGTAGCAGCTGGTAGAGTGGCTTCTTCAGCTTTTCTCAATGTAAGTTGTTTTCTGTTCTTCATAATATAACAAACTTTAGATAGCTAGAACTCAACTAAAAAAGCAACAAAGGAAGAGCTGTTGTTGACAAAATACAGCAAGGGGATTTTGAGGAAAATTTACAGTTTAATTGGAATTGATTGCTTCTCTCACATTAGAAAAATGTAAACAAGAAATACACTGAAGTGTAAGAAAACACTAAAATTAGTTAGCACTAAAATCAGTAGAGTCTGATAAGAAAAACAGAATTTAAAGTTGAGGTAATCAAGGAAACAGGATGGGAAAAAAGCAAAGAAAGGGCAGTGGGCTATATATAGCAAAGAAGTAAGAAACAGTGGTAAGTAATCATTGCACAATGTATATGTATATCAAATCACACTGTACACCTTAAATATATTCAGTCTTTATTTAACAATTAAATATTTTAAAATTAAACAGTGATGAGATAACCACCCTAGGAGGAAATACACCCTAGGTGTAAACTCTAAACTCTCAAAACTGCATGTGAGGATTTTGCATACTAACATGGAACTGTGAGACAGTATCAAGTAAATCAGTATACCTAGAATATATTCATATATAAGTGGCAGAAGTGAGCTAGAGAGGAAGGCAGTGGCTGTGTTCACAGTGCCAGAAAGCTTAGATAAAATCCTAGGAAAGGAATGAGTAAGACTGAAGGGTTTTAAGCAACGAGTAACATGATCAAATTTGTATTAATATTTTGGAAAGATCACTCTGGAGCAAATTATAAATGGGAAATAATTAACTGAAAATCTGTTGGAAAAAACTAAGCATATTTGGGAGAGAAAAAATACTTGTCTAGTACTTTGTAACTTGGAAAGCAGTTTAACATACATTTTTCATTTATAAGCTGCAACAGTGAAAGATCAGTAGTGAAATAGAGAAGGAGTTCTATTTGGGGCATAGCAAGATTCATATTAGATATCCATGAAGAGATGTCAGGAGAATAATTGCATATACAATTCAGGAGCTCAAGGGGGATGTCGGGACTGAAAATATAAAGCTTAGAGACATCAACTTACAGATGGTATTTAAAGCCATGAAACTGGATACAATCACCTAAAGGGAATGTACAAATAAAGAAAAGCAGCAGCAGGCCAGGCACGGTGGCTCATACCTGTAATCCTAGCACTTTTGAGAGGCCGAGGCAAAAGGATCACTCAAGCCCAGGAGTTCAAGAACAGCCTGGGTAACATAGTGAGACCCCATCTCTTAAAAAAAAAAAATGGCCAGGCATGGTAGTGCATACCTGTAGTCCTAACTACTCAGGAGGCTGAGCCAGGAGGCTCGCTTGAGCCCGGGAGTTGGAGGTTGCAATGAGCTGTGATCATGCTACTATACTCCATTTGACAACGGAGCAAGACCGTGTTTCAAACAAACAAACAAACAAACAAACAAGGAGCAGTATTTATAGCTAGTTATATAACCCTGTTTTTCCAGCTCCCTGAGGCGTGATCGTGTTTTATTCATCTTGGTGTCTCTAGGGCCTAGGATAGCACCATGCTTAGTTGGTGTTTATTTATTGAATATATATGTTAATTCAGGACCTAAATGGCGCCTAGTATGTACTCCACATAGTGCTTAGCCCTTTTGTGGTTATTAAATTTTCTCTCCTTTGTTTACAGTGTTCCTTTCGGTGGAATACAAAGGGATATAGAATAAATTAGATGTACTTTGTGCTCAATAAAAAAACATATTGTCTGTTTCTGGGGAGATAGGGAAGTATATTAACAACTATAGAATGTAGGGCATCAAATAAATAACAACAGGAGGAGCATAGCATAGTGGTTAAAAGCATGGACTCTAGAGCCAGTCTGCCTGGGATCAAGTCTCAGCTCTGCCACTTATTAACTGTGGTATGACCTTTGGCAAGTTACTTAATTTTTCTGTGTCTCAGTTTCTTCATCTATAAAATAAAGATAACCTGCCTCATAGATTATTTTATAAGGATTTGTAATATGGTTGGAATATTATCTGACACATATGTGCAATATAAGAATTTTTTAAATAAAATTATTTCATAATTCAGAAAAAGGAGAGATTTTATTTGTTTGGGGATATAAAACTTTCATGGAAAATACAAATGAATAGATTCCTGAATAGATCATTTTGTGTAAGTGAAAATGGAAGATAGGGAAGGTATTCTAGGCAGAGTTAAATAGGCATGAGTAAGATGTTTTCAAGGAATGACAGATAATTCATTTTGTTTAGAGGCTAGTTAATCTGCGATAGCGGAGTGAACAGCAAGAACAGAATGGTACTTTAGGTCTTCCTACCCAAAGTGTGGTCTGCACACAAGAAACATTTAGCATAATCTGGGTACTTGTGAGGAATGTAGAATCTCAGACCCCATTCCATACCTACTTACTGAATCAGAATCTGCATTTTAACTAGATCACAAATGATTGGTAAAATCATTAGTTAAAGATTGAGTAGCACTGCTTTAGGTTACATCTTGGAAAGGTCTTGAATGTCAGGGATCAGGTTATAATGCTATATTAGATAAATAGTTAAATTTTTTTTTAAAGTAGAGATTATTGAATCTGTCCTTTGGGAATATTAAATAAGTATTAATCTGGGAGTGTATTTAAGACAAACTAGAGATGGTAAACAAATTAAAAATTAGTATAATCGGTGTATGTATTAGATTATCAATCTCTTGGATACTGGCAAAAATTGATAGAAATCAGAAGATACTAATACATAAACCAATATTTTTTATTAATTTACTATGAAAACTATTAGTGTTTCATTAATTTACCCTGAAAACTATTACTGTTCAGCAGGCCAGGTATTCCAGATGACAAGGCAGCTTTTCTCAAAGTTTTATAGGAGAATTAAACCCTAATGTACTAAAGCATCTATTTTATGTGACTAATTTTATGTGATACATCCATTTTATATGACTAATTAACTTCTGTCTTATATGCATCTAATACTATGCATTATGTAACATCCTTGGAAAATTCAGAAAATAGTTATTTTCTGAGTTCTCTCAATCATATGAGGAATACCTGTTGGGAAAGGCTGCATAAAAAAACAAATTACTGCAGGAATTAAGCTGACACATCTCCATTAGAACAGCCTTTTCTTCTGGGACAGTGTTGGAAATACCCAGTCCAAATTTTGTTCTTTGTATTCCCATTTTAGATCTCATGCATATCATTTTCCTCCTGTTAATGTTCTTCCCCCGCTTAGGCACATTATAAAATAATTGATTCAGTTTTGCCTTTCTTAATTACAAGCACATTCCAGGTCTGCCCCCATTATATCCTCATACCTGAACATTGCCAGTTACCTTATCAACCTTTAAAGAAAAACTCTCAGGTGTAATCTCTTTCATTTATTCATTAAATAAAACTCTTAGGTAATGTCTTTCATTCAAAAAAACAAAAATACTGGTTTTTTAAAATCGGTTTCATTTTTATAGGATAACTTTTATTTTAAATTGAAATGGTAGATGTGAGCTTACTCTGTCCCCTTACACTGCTGTCTTATATCTAGATCGTTTTTTAATCCGGAAATGAGTTGTTTTGTTGAAAATCATATAATAGAGTACTACATTATTGCCTCTATTATAATATTTTTTAAGATGAGGAAATCCTTTTGAAGATTGGGTCTTGATTTATGTGAATAGAAGTACTATATTTCTAATAAATTTATATTTAGCATTTTTGTTAAATATTAAACATACAAATCAATTTGCAGGTATTTTAGTAAATAATATATTAGTAGGTGGATGTTGATATTTGGTGGGCATGCAAGAAGGCAGAAGAGGAAAAAGAAGCATTCAGTGTTGATACTTCAGAAATAGTTTAATATAGCTAAAGATAAAAAGTTACCTTCATCTATAGTCCAGGCATACATTCTAATGTTTTTAGTAAGTAACGTAGGCAATGTTTTTCTTATGTGTGTAATATTATGAAAATCATCTAGACTGGTGCCTTTCATATAGTTAACATTTTCATTCTTATATTTATTACTACCTAAGGATGAATAAATAATATAGTGAAACTGAGCATCAGCTTATTAGACCCATATGTGACGATGTTGAATTACCTTTAAAATTAAAGTATTTATATTTTTCCTTATAATTAGGGTAAATTGATACTGGTATTTAAGTTATGTTCCTATTTATAGTCTCATTAACCGTAGCCGATTTGAGGAAGGCTCTGATATCTGTTTATTGCATTTATTGAGAATAACAGTAGTTTATGTGGAAAGTGTAGATGGAAACCTAAATCATTTTATGTCCCCTTTCCTTTTGAAACTTTGTTTTATACTCTCACTTCCCTGTCTATTATAGTTTTGTAGTAAAGTAATTTTTCTGATAATTTTAATGACATAATTAAATATATTTTAAACCTTTTTAAAATCTGATATGTAGGCACCAAGAGTAGAAGCACAAGTTCTCCTGGGATCTTTGGTTTGCTTTCCCAACTTATATTTTGAACTGCCAGCTCTCCATCCCAACATTCCTGATATTGCTGTATCTCAGTTTACAGATGTTAAGGTAAGAAATCAAACCCATGTAACAAAAAAAAACACTGTACCCCATAAATCTATTTAAATTTTTAAAAAAGAAAGAAAATTGGATGCTAATTTTTAGCAATTTAAGTGATCGTATAAGCATAAATTATATGCAATAAAATTTGTATTCTTTCTTTACTTTTTGAAATCCATATAGTTGTGAAAAAGCATTAACCAGCCATGTCATTCAGACACAAAGGCTGGAATTTTCATTAGAAATATAGACTTTTTTGTGTTTAATACTGCTTTGGGACCTTTTTCTTGTTATTGAACCTACTCACATGTCTACCTCTTAGGATTCATTCATTTACTCACTGAACATTTATCAAAACATCCTGTGAGCTAGATGCTATGCTGCTAATGTAAGGCTTCTAAGATTGAGAAAGCAGACTAAACTGCGCATATTTGACTCTACCTCCCCAGTTTCTCAGTATGATGAGTCAAACAAAGTAATGGAAAATTTTATACTGCTATAGGAAACTATGGAGTTGAGGTAGAGATCTCATGTACCTGAAGCGTTAAAGGTCTTGAACAGTAGATGGTGCAAAATTAAGAGCGACTATAAAGTTGCCAATGAAACCTACCCCAGATATAAATCCTTAAACAAACAAAAAAAATTATAATTGGGCCCCATTAGGAGCAGACATGCCCAAACGTCCCTTGTTATTTATAAGATTTTTTAAAAATTTCAGGTAGAAAAGTGGCCAGAACTTGTTGAGTGCCTCTGTAGAGGTCAGCCTCTGTTTGAAGGGAATACATGACATGTTTGGCACACTTAGTCCTCTGGACTCAGTAATTCTTAGACCAAGGTAGGGGGGAGTGGTGTGAAAATTTCTCCTAGTTAGAATAAAGGCATTCAGTGCACTAGGCCCAGCAATGTGCCTGCTAGTAAATAATTCCATCATTAAGTTAAGACCTGTCTCTAACTGAATGCCTCTGTATTATGAATTTCCAACAGTTTAACAGTCCTGAGATGTTGTGCCTATCACAGTAATTGCTAGATGGTCTTCGTTTGACCTGAATTGGTCCCTAGAATTAGATGAAGGACTGAGAGAGAGACATTATAGTTCCTTGTGAACTATGCTGATTTTTTTCAAAACTTGGTTTTTCTGACGTTTTTAAATTTAATTTATGTTAGGAGTGCTATATACACTCTCTATAGCATTCATATTTCTCTTTAAAACATTTATCATACTTGAAATTACTTGTTCAATGTCTGACTTCTACTTTAGACAGATAAACACCATGAGGCCTTATTTTTTGCTTTATCATCATAGCCTAACGCACTGCTTGGCACATAGTATATACTCAGAAATCATTTGTTAAACAAATGAACTTGAGTTATACATAAAATCATATGGTTTGATGCAAATTTAGAATGACATTTAATAAAAACTATACAAATTGACCTTTGTTCCTTAGAGATGTAATAGCTATGGTTTCTTTTATTTTCAGAAGATCTTAAAGGCCAAGGATGAGTCCTCATTTTAATTTACTTAGACAGTTTTGAGTTAGTTAAGGGTCAGCCTAGCCTACTTCATACTATCTACATTTCAGAGTGGCCTTGTTCTCTATTGACTATTGTGTAGGCAGTAACGCTGAAGTGATTTTAAAAACAAAAACAACACTTTTTTGTGTGGAAAAAAAAAATCTCCAAAGTAAAAGCCAATTTTAATAATAATGGAGAAAGCAAAAAGCCTAACAAAGTGATCATTGTTCTTAGTAAATGAAGATTTATGGGTAAAGTTACCTGCCATTGTAGTTATATTTACTTTTCACTGAAACCAGCTCCTATGCATGTACTCTAAACCACAGCCACATGGAACTACCATGTTTCTTGGTTCTGTGCTTTTGAGAAACTGTTTATTTCTACTAAACTGTTTTTATATAGTCCTGTTCTCTTCTTGCCACTCACCTGAAACATATGTAATCATGGTACCTAATGTTAATTATCTGTCAAAATCCTTTTTATCTAAGATCTCTTTGTGTGAAGCCTTTTATGACCTCCCATATGAGCTGTTTGCTTACCTAGAACTTTGTACACATCATCTTGTTTGATTTTTTTGTTTGTTTTTACAATTCACTCATTTAATAGTTTTTAGTGTAGTCAGAGAATTGTGCAACTGTCATCACAGTCAATATTAGAACATTTTCATCACCCCCAAAGAAACCCTGTACCCATTAGCAGTCATTCCCCATTCTTTCTATCCCAAGCTCCTGGCAATTACAGATTTATGTTGTGTCTCTATGGATTTGCCTGGATATTTTATATTACATGAGCTTGAATTTTAATTATTTGTTTATAAATCTGCCTCTGTCCCTGGACTGTGAACTTCTTAAGGATAAGTACATTGTCTTGACTATCTTCTTATTTCCAGCATCTAAAACAGGGTCTATTGCATAGAAAGCTCTTGAGCTTAAACAGTAGATATTTTCCAAGTACCCATTAACTGCTAGCCATTGGGCTAGGTGCTGAGTTTACAAAGATAATAGAAGGTTGCTCCTCTTGAGGAGCTTATATTCTATGTAGCCGATAAATGCTTTACGGAATGAGTGAACGAATGAGTTTTTAAAAGTCAATGAACAAAATTCTTGGTTATCAAATCTAGTATCATTCTTGTTCTCCTGAGCCACTGTAGTATTTGATCCCGTTGATGTTTCTAACCTTCCTAAATGTCTCTTCATCTTTTGTTACATAAATCTGTCTTGATTTTACTTCTTGCCTAAGTATTCTGACTCCTTAAGCTAGTTTTCTTTTCTCTGCTTGCTAAACATACAGTCGCTTCACTATTCTACCCTTGTTTTTCTTCTCTATTTTCTCCCTCTTGAATATTTTATTCATTTACATGATTTTAACTAGTATCTAAAACTTATTGCAAAACTCATACATTATCATACTTTACAAATTAATAAGGAAGAAGAAGCTGGCTTTTTCCATCCAGCTTTATTGAGATAAAATTAACAAATAAAAATTGTATATATTTAAGTTGTACAACTTGATATTTTGACATACATATACATCGTGGTAAACATTAAGCTAAATAACATATCCCTCACCTCATATAGTTACCTTTTTTGGTTGGAGGGGGGAGCAAGTGAGAACAACTAAGATCCACTCTCTTAGCAGATTGTTAACTGTAGTTACCATGCTGTACTTTCAATCTCCAGAATTTATTCATCCTGCATGTCTGAAACTTTGTACTCTGTAACCAACATTTTCCCATTTCTCCTACTACTGTCTGCTTCTGAGAGTTCAACATTTTAGATTCCACATGTAAATGAGATCACACAGTATTTGTCTTTCTGTGTCTGGCTTGTTTCACTTAGCCCAGTGTCCTCTAGCTTCATTCATGTTGTCACAAATGACAAGATTTCCCTCTTTTTAAAGGCTGAATAATATTCCATTATGTGTGTATTTATGTGTGTGTGAGTGACATTTTATCCATTAGTCCTCCAATGGACACTTAGGTTTTTTCCATATATTGGCTATTGTGAATAATTCTGCAGTAGACATGGGAGTGCAGGTATCTCTTTGACATACTAATTTCATTTCCTTTGGATCCCAGAAGTGGTATTGTTTTGGGTTATATGGATATTTTAACAGTATTAATTCTTCCAATCCATAAATACCATTTATTTCTGTCTTTTTCAGTTTCTTTAATCAGTGTTTTATAGTTTTCAGTGTACAGATCTTTCAACTCTGTGGTTTAAATTTATTCATAAGTATTTTATTGTTTTCGATGCTATTTGTAAATGGAATTGTTCTTTTAATTTCTTTTTTGGATAGTTCATTGTTAGTGTATAGAAACACAACTGATTTTTATATATTGATTTTGTATCCTGCAACTCTACTGACTTTATTAGTTTCTAACAGTTTTTTGGTGGAGTCGTTAGGATTTTCTATATATTAGGTCACGTTATCTGCAAAGACAGTTCTAATTCTTTCTTTTCAGTATGGATGCTCTTTTTCTGTTTCATTTTTCTGCCTAATTGCTCTGGTTAGGACTCCCAATATTATGTTGAATAGAAGTGATGAGAGCGAACATCCTTGTCTTATTCCTGATCTTAAAGGAAAAGCTTTTAGCTTTTCACTGTTGCATATGATGTTAGCTACAGACTTATTATATATGGCCTTACTTATGTTGAGGTACTTTCCCCCTATACCTAATTTGTTGAGTTTTAATCATGAAAGGATATTGTATTTTGTCAAATGCTTTTTCTCCACCTATTGAGATGGTCATATGATTTTTATCCTTCATTCTCTTAATGTGATATATCACTTTTATTGATGTGCATATATTGTACCATCCTTGCATCCCAGGAATAAATTCTGCTTGATCATGGTATGTGATCCTTTAAATGTGATGTTGAATTTGGTTTGCTAGTATTTCTTTGAGGATTTTTGCATCTATACTCATCAGGTATATTGGCCTGTAATTTTTTTTTTCTTGTAGTGCCCTTGTCTTACTTTGGTATCTGAGTAATACTGGCCTCATAAAATGAGCTTGGAAGTTTTCCCTCCTTTTCAGTTTTTGGAAGAGGTTGAGAAGGATTCGTGGGTTTTTTGAGGGGGGGGGGTTGGTTTTTTTTTTATTTCAGGGTATTATGAGGGTACAAACATTATGGTTACACTTTATGTCTTTGCCTCACCCAGGCGAGGGTTAAAGGCATGCCCTTCCCCCCTACAATGATCCCCATGTCCTTTAGTTGCGGGTTTACCCCTCCATCCCCCTAATCCCTGGAGAGTATTACTGCCATGTGATCACCCTAGTGTTGATCAGTTAGTACCAATTTGATGGCGAGTACAAGTGGAGCCCATTCTTCCGAACTTGTGGTGCCTCACTTTGGATAATGGGCTTAAGTTTAATCCAGGAAAGTATAAGAGGTTCTAGATCACTGTCATTTCTTATGATTGAATAATATTCCATTGTATACATATACCAGATTTTACTAATCCACTCATGGATTGACGGGCACTTGGGCTATTTCCACATCCTTGCAATAGTGAATTGTGCTGCCATAAACATTCGGGTGTAGATGTCTTTATCATAGAATGTTTTCTGCTCTTTTGGGTAGATGCCTAATAGTGCCATTGCTGGATCGAATGGTATTTCTATTTTTAGCTCTTTGAGGTATCTCTAAATTCTTTTCCACAGAGGTTGCACTAATTTGCAGTCCCACCAACAGTGTAAGAGTGTTCCTGGCTCTCCACATCCTCGCCAGCATTTGTTGTTTTGGGATTTTTTGATAGAGGCCAGTCTCACTGGGGTTAGGTGATATCTCATTGTGGTTTTGATTTGCATTTCTCTAATGTTAGAGATGTTGAGCATTTTTTTATATGTTTGCTGGCCATTATTCTGTCTTCTTTTGAAAAGTTTCTGTTCATTTCCTTTGCCCATTTGTTGATGGGATTGTTTGATTTTTTTCTTGTTGATTTTTTTGAGTTCTAGATAGATTCTGGTTATCAGCTCTCTATCAGATGTGTAGAGAGCAAATACTTTCTCGCATTCTGTGGGCTGTGTATTCGCTCTAATGATAGTTTCCTTAGCAGTGCAGAAGCTTTTTAATTTGATTAGATCCCATTTATTTATTTTTGTTGCTGCAGTGATTGCTTTGGGGTTCTTCTTCAAGAATTCCTTGCCTAGGCCGATGTCTGAAAGGGTCATCCCAACATCTTGTTTTAGAATTCTTAAGGTTTCATGATTTAGGTTTAACTCTGATATCCATCTTGAATTGATTTTTGTGAGAGGTGAGAGGTGGGGATCCAGTTTCATTCTTCTGCATGTAGCTGTGAGAAGGATTAGTGTTAAGTCTTCTTGAAATGTTTGGTAGAATTTACCAGTGAAGCCATCTGGTTGTGGCTTTTAAATAGTATTTCTCAAAGTTTTAAAAAGATGTTTATTTTACTTGAGTTACCTTCCTTTATTATTCTTCTAATCAGGATAAAGGGTATTATTTTAACATATACTTTTGGTTATAAATTTCAGAAATATCTTTAGCTACTTTTATGAATAATACCGGATTCTTTATTGTAAGTATATACACGAGAACAAACACTATTTTACTTAACTATTGTATTCCCAGTACCTGGCACAGTGCCTGGTCCATAGTAGCTACTTAATAAATATTTGTAGAATGAATGAATGAAAACTTAGTCATTGCTATTAACTATTTCCTCCTTATTTTAGGAACTTATAATCAAAACTGTATTAAGCTCAGCAAGAGATGAGCCCTCTGGTCCTGCACGGTAGGTCATATATTCTTAGACTCAACTATTCTGTGTTTGGAGTCTTATTTTAGGAGTTGATTGAATTATTAAAGTAGTCCAGATTGTTTCAGATGCATAAAAGCCATTCTGAATTATAAATTTAAATGATTCGAATAGATAAATACTCTGACTTTTGTTCATGATTTAAAACTAACCTTCCTTCATTAAAAAAAAATCCTAGTCACCTTTTTCAGTAACTTCCCCTTCTTTTTAAAGTAATTTGTTTTAATTATTTAAGTATATTTTGCTTTCTCTTCAGTTATATTTATCATTGTCTTTTATGCAGTACTTTGAAATACATTAGTAAATACCCAATGAATGTTTATTAAATTAAAACAAGATATTTTTATTGTGGAAAGCGACATATCTAAGAAAATAGTATACTTTAATATTTATAAATATTTGATCGGGGGGAGGGGGGAAGAGGGAGGAGGGGACGAGTATTTGTATACACAAGGAGTGCAATGCGCACCACC